GGTGGGCTCAGGCTGATGCTCCGTACCGCGGGGAGATGGTGGGCTGGGCTCTGGGTCCGAAATGGATCCGGCGAGATCCTCCACGGGGCCGATGGTGAGTGGCGACAGAGCGTGTCGTCCGGATAGCTCGGAAGTTAAACTGTTTTTGGGTCGGTTATTCTGTCAACGGGCAGGGTGTACTAGAGACCAGGCAGGACGACGAAGATGACGAATAAAAGGATATTTAATGATATGACAACAGGAGATCCAGACAGGGTAGACATCAACACACAGGGTAACATTCACAATAACCGACAAACTAGACTACAAGAGACAGGAACTGATATAGGGCAGATGACGAGGGGCAGACAGGTGAGCACAATGAGGATAATTAACTAATGATTAGAACAGAAACCACAACCAACCGTCCACAGGGGTGTGACAATATCCTTCATAAAATATGAACACAATCTTGTACTTTTGTCTTTTCTTCTATTTTCAAATACCTTAAAAACAAAGTTTGTGATTCATCTCAGAGATTTTTAGATTGGTTCATGGCTTGAAATTATTTATTTAACTTTTCTTTTTTTAATTCCTATGGAGAGAAAAATGCTTCCGGAACCAAGACCACTAAAAAAGTGGGCAGTTACTGTTGCGTGTATTTGATCAATGGCTTTGTTGCTGCTGTGAAAGATGAAGGATGTATTTTACAGGAACCAAACATAAGCATTTGCATATATATACGCAACCTTTATGTATTAAATATTTTAACATGTTTCTGTTTCTCTCTCTCAGTTGCTGGATATAAACTGGACGGGTCTTACAAACATGCTGGACATCCCTGGAGTAAAGTGAGTGATACACGTCAGCCATCACACATCATGCAATCATATTATTATGTCAGTTTCATAAAACTGGAAAGTGGATCAGGCAGCCTTTGAAACACACACATGCTGTCACATGACCTATTTTGTATTTGGAGGTGGCACAGATAACAGTCTCACACAAACATTATGCACGCTCACTCCAGTCTCAGAAATGCTGCTCTTCCTGTCAGACCACATCAGAGGATCCACGTTTACACCCACTAATGATGGTAGGGAAATGATGGGGTCTTAATAGTGTGTTTTATCTTAAAGTCCGCCTTGTGATCCCCTACCAACAGTGTGCGTCCAAATGTTGAGTTTAATGTGTTTTCCCAGAGGAGTCTCTCTCTTTCTTTCTCTTTTTCTCCTTTTATAGTCATATCATAGGTGGAGCTGATGTTGTGGTTTAGGCGTGGCGAGATCTTGTCCTTTGTTATATTTTCTCTCTCACACACACACACACACACACCCTCACAGAAGAGTCATATTTCATGCTCTTTTCTGGTTAGACATCAGTACTGAAATCAATCTGAATTCTTTGATCTCTGAAGAATAAATTAATCAGTCGTGATAATCGTGATTACATGTTCAAGCTGAAATGCAGGTTAATTGTAAAATAATGCTATAGATGAAGTCATTAACATAGCGTGGGCAAAGGGACTATAAACAACTATAAATGCCAGTACTTAAATGAAAACTGTACTAATGGAGAACTGCTGGGGGAGGATGGAGGAAGCATTATAGTGCATTAATTTTTCCCCTTATCCCAGTGGCTCTCATCATTTTTGATTCGGAAGCCCCACATTAGTTCAACGCAATATTAAAGCCTCCCAGTATATGTTTTCGCTGATATTTTTGGGTGCAATTAAGACAAAGATACTTGCTTTCCAGCTTTTTGTTCACAGAAACTGGGAGTGTTCATGAATTAATTAACCACAATTCATTTTGTGATTTCAGAAATTTCAGGAACTGTGAAAAAAGCAATAGTTGTTTAGAGGGAATGTTTTCAAAACATTTTTTTAGCATTTCAACTGAATTAAAACACTTCAAAATATCACTCATAATATTAATATAAATGTTATTATTACTAATGTATTATAATAAATTTAAGTCATCCTGTGACCCCCTTGGAAGTTTACTGAGGCCCTCTAGTGGGCCCTGGCCACCTTAAGAACCACTGCCTTTTCCTAAATGTTTAATTTCACATGGTTCAAGCAAAAAAGGGGCTGAAGATGTGTGTTTAGTGGAAGCAAAAAGACATTGAAAAGTGTTTTGTTTCAAATCTGAGCATAAATACCAAGAATAGACAATCAACCAAAAATCTAGTTTTTTTCTGTGTACAGAAGTTGTTAATTGGCAGAATGTTTAGGCTGCTGTTTTCTGTACAGTACAGATGCAAGAAGATTATAACTGCAGCTATCAAGCTCAGTTTACCTAAAACGTATAATAAAATTGGTCTATACAACTTGTGAGTTTGGGAAACAAGTTTTTGGGAAAAAAAATGTCAGAAGATGTATGAATTTATTGATAGGTGGATAGATTGAATTGAATGCATTTGAATGATTTGTTATACCATTTAACATCATCACTAATCTTTCTTTCTCTCTCTTTCACAGTGGTCTGTGTGACGGCATTATTCAGGATATCATATACAGTTATCTCGTGCTGCCAAACAAAATCACTATTCCGCTTGTAAATGATGCACAGATTTCCAAACTCCGCTTCCCTATGCCAAAGGTGACACACTTGTACACTTCACATGCACATGCATACATGTATATAACCATAATATTTATATCACATGTGTGTTTTTGTTGTAGGGTATTCTGCGGATTCACTTTCTGGAGGCCCAGGACCTGGTAGGGAAGGACAAGTTTCTGGGTGGTCTGATAAAAGGAAGGTCAGACCCGTATGGCGTCATTCAGCTCGGTAATCAGCTCTTCAGATCCAAAATCATCAAAGAGACAGTTAATCCTAAATGGAACGAAGTTTATGAGGTAAGGGACTAATTTGTGATTGAATCTGTCCTGAATCTGACATGTTTATATTTACCATCCCAAGGTGTTTATGTGTGTTTTAGGCATTTGTGTACGATCACCCAGGACAAAATGTGGAGATAGAGCTTTATGATGAGGACCATGATAAGGATGATTATTTGGGAAGGTAATGGCTGTGATTTAATCTAATCAATCATCAAATAATTACAAGCAATAATACTTCAGAATTCCACCTTAAAGATTGTCAGGATCTGTGTGTGGATGTGTTTTTAATCATTTGATGTTTCTCCTCATGTATTCTTTAGCCTTACCATCAACGTAGATGAACTAGAGAAGGAACAGAAACTAGATGAGGTGCAAAAAAAGCCTTTTTGTCTTATTTTGGTCTTACATCTGCCCAGCTTTATTTTTGAATGAGCTCAAAACTTGTATAGAACAAAATGCTTAAACTATTAGTTCACTCAAACCTTTATGACTTGATTTCTTTTGTGGAGCATGAATAGTAGATTTTTGAAAAATGCCACTTTTCCAAAAATTAAAGGTACCTGAATAGATGACAAAAAAGTATTATACATGTGGTATCATTGGATGAGTAAATGCAGAATGTTCATGCTTGAGTGAACTATACTTTTAATAAAGTGTTATTATTATAAATTATTAAGTTTTGAAATTAAACTTATGATTTCATATAATAAATATCCTCCCTGTTTCACCTGTGTGTGTGTGTGTGTGTGTTTGGGTGTGTGTGTGTGTGTGTGTCTGTCTGTCTTGTGTGTGTGTGTGTGTGTGTGTGTGTGTGTGTTTGGGTGTGTTTAGTGGTTTGTACTTGATGATGTTGCTACAGGAAAGCTTCACCTGAAGATTGAATGGCTTTCTCTTCTCCCTACACCTGATAAACTTGATGAGGTAACATAACACACCTTTTATACACATCAAAGTGATATGATATGATTCTGTTAACAATTTCAACTTTACTGATCAAATAACAAATGTACACTACCCTTCAAAAGTTTAGGGTCAGTAAGAAAGAAGTCTCTTATGCTCACCAAGGCATTTATTAGATCAATAATACAGTAAAAACTGAAATATTGTGAAATAAAATGTAATTTATTCATGTGACCGCAAAGCTGAATTTTCAGCAGCCATTACCCCAGTCTTCAGTGTCACATGATTCTTCAGAAGATGCTTAAGAAACATTTCTTAAAATAATCAATGTTGAAAACAGCAGTTGTGCCGCTTAATATTTTTGTGGAAACTGTGATACATTTTTTTCAGGATTCTTTGATGAATAGAAAGTTTTGTACAATGTTATGTTACCATGTAGATCACAAACAGCACTGAGCCAGCACTGATTCATGTTTTATGTGTTGCTTTTCAGGTTTTAAGCAGCATTAAAGCAGCTAAAGGTCAGGCCAATGATGGACTGTCATCAGCATTATTGTTGGTGCATCTGGACTCAGCCAAAAATCTGCCAGTGAGCATTAACACATACATACACACATACACACCCACAATAGCTTTCTTACTTCCTTATTTTTCTGTGCTCCACCTTCCCTCTTTCATCAGGTATCACTTCTACTACTACACTTGCCTTGCCTTTTCTCCTTTCATTCTCTGTTTCTTTCTGTTGTCCCACTCTGGTTTCCTGTCGCTCTGGGTAAAGAGTGTTTTTGAGGGACACGTGGGCAGTGGGTGTCTGAGAGAGCGCCGCTCTGCCGGGCTGGTGTTCTGTGAAAACACTTCTGCCCTCTACAGGACAATGTTTGTGAGTCACTCTGCTGGCATTTCCATTAGATTGGTCTGCTTGCATTTTACCTGCATTCGGTGCATTAACACCTGGTTATTTAATTTACAAATGTTTCATAGTTACATCTCAACTTCCCTTTTGCATGTAAAATCTTCCTGTAATGCTGTTCAAACTCTGAGGACTGTTTTGTTTGGATTTGTTTATGTCGTGGTTCATTCTGTCAGCATGCTAGTGTTTTCAGAAGCCCTGCCTGCATTTTGCATAGATCTAAATAGTCTGTATTAGAGGTGTTAATGCAGCCATTTTTGTGTGTGCAGTTGTTTTTTCAGTGTGTAGGTGCACTCTTTCCTTTAAAGAGGGCATTTGAATATAGAGCATCAAAGGTGGCTCAGGGAAAACCTTTTGACTATGTTCACACAGTAACAGAACGCAGTTGTCAGCCCTGTTTGGATAGTTAAATAAGGTTATGTGGTTATGGGTATATTGCTGATCAAGGGTTTTTATTGGACAACGATGATACCAATATCTAGAAAGAAGGTTGGCCAATCACTTATAGTATAATGGAGCTGTGTATGTATGATAATATATATTTTTAGGAATAATTATAAGAAAAAAAAGAGAGAAAAAGACAAAATTTAAAGTACCATGTGATAACAATGGAGGCATGCACAAAATAGCTGCAATTAAATTTTTTTACTAAATACAATTTTTTCTGATTTCATTATTTGAAATCAGTTTTTTTTTTTCAATTGATAAAGCAGTATTTGACAGAAGGATAAAATCGTTATTGGTCAGTATTGATAATCTCAAAATGGACAAAATGTTTGCTGATTAATTGTGTGTAAGAGAAAGATTGAAATACACTCCTCTTCAAAAGTTTGGGGTCAGTAAGTTTTTATTTTTAATTGGATATAGAATAGAATATAGCTAAGATGCATTAAATTAATCAGAAGTAACACTAAAGACTTTTATAATGTTACAAAAGTTGTTACAAAAATGTTACATAATGTTTAATTTCTGTTTCAAATAAATGCAGTTATTTTCTAACTGTTCATCAGATCAGAGTCGTCAAAAAAATGTCACGTTTCCACAAAAATATGAAGTAGCACAACTGTTTTAAGATTAATAATAAGAAGAAATGTTTCTTGTGCACCAATTCAGCATATTAGAATTATTTTCGAAGGATCATGTGACACAGAAGACTAGAGTAATGGTTGTACTTTTGAAGAAACTTCTTTCAAAATCATTAAAAAAAAAATCTTACAGACTCTGAAATTTGGAAGAGTAGTGTATGAGTTGGGGGGTGTAACATAGAGATATAAGTGGTGCAGTCGCTTTCACAACGAAACACACAGCGTCTCCATGATATGGCGGCGGCGGCAACAATACTACAGCGAGAATCAAAGTTAATCCTTATTTCTTTGCATGAACATTTGGGTGGTGTTGTGCAAATCTTCCCACACAGTGAAGTAGACGTGTGGGGGCGTGTTTAAACGAGGCGTTTTAGGACGGCGTGGACGAGTCTTAACTTTTATAAAGAATATCTCTTTGGGTTTGAGACTTAAGTCTTTACAACTTTAGGGATCTTATCTATTCACGAACAGCTTGTAACACTCCAAAGAGAAAGGAAAACTTGAAATCGCATCATATGACCCCTTTAAGCAATATCACACAAACAAGAGTGCTGTTCATCATGGCTGTGATCCCGGATGATCACGAGTGTGATATTGCTTTTATACAACAGTTTATAAATTATTTATACATACAGATTAAACATACTATTTTAGACATAATATTAGGCAGCTACTTTGTTTTTGCTTTGCACAACAAGTTCCACACAAAAACAGATTCAACTGTCATGTGTCAAACAAACGGGGTGCTGATCCAAAGCGTGAAAGCTCCAGTGCAGTTATTAAATATCAGCACATTTGGAACGCCAATCAAATTCAAGGACTGCAACTGTTGTATAATCTGTCACTGAAAGTATTTAAGTAAATTCAAGTGCCTTGCAGTGCCCATGACATGTTGTGATATGTTTTGCAATCAGATATGTTGCGGGTTGATTTGCAGTGAAGTGTGGGTTGGACTGATTCTCTTTGGATTGCCTTGTCTATATTTCTCTTTCATGTTTCTTTCTATCATTCTTTCTTCATCACTGTAGAAAATACAATGAAGCCTCCTCTTTTCTCATATTCATCAAATGAACCATGCATTAATTCCATAATCATTCATTTTGTTGTGTGTGATTGAGTGAGTACTTAAGGATGTCTGTGTGTTTTTGTGCAATTATGAATTTAACTCTGCATGCCATCCTCCTAATAATCCTGCCTGTATTTGTATTTGTTTGTGTGTGCGCGTGTGTGTCTCGTCCTTTTCTGCTTGGGGAAATAAGCGCAATCCTTTAGAATTCAACAATGCAGGTCTGAAGAAGGGTACAGTCAATAAAGCGCTAAAGGTAACACAACCAGTTTTCTCACAATTTACACACACATACAGTATAGACAGATGTAGAAGGACTTGGCAAGGTTGTTTATGTCGATTTAAGATCTGCAGCAGGTACCATGTGTGCTGTTTGTGTGCTTTGATTAACCGCATGCAGACCTGCGTGCGCATCTGACTGTCTGAAACACACTGAATTCAGACTCTGAATGCCACAGAGGCTATTTCTCATGTGTAAATCTCAGCCATCTTTCCAATCTCATTTTCCCAGTTCTGAATTGATGTCATTTAATTCAAGTAATATATGAATCAAAATTATACACACAATTGTACAGAAATGCAACATATAAGACCTTGTTTGAATCCAACAAGTTTTTAGGTTTAATGTCCTGATATTGATATAGTACATGGCATTCATAAGGGGAAATAAACAAAATATTTTAGAATATTTCACGAACAGCTTGTAACACTCCAAAGAGAAAGGAAAACTTGAAATCGCATCATATGACCCCTTTAAGCAATATCACACAAACAAGAGTGCTGTTCATCATGGCTGTGATCCCGGATGATCACGAGTGTGATATTGCTTTTATACAACAGTTTATAAATTATTTATACATACAGATTAAACATACTATTTTAGACATAATATTAGGCAGCTACTTTGTTTTTGCTTTGCACAACAAGTTCCACACAAAAACAGATTCAACTGTCATGTGTCAAACAAACGGGGTGCTGATCCAAAGCGTGAAAGCTCCAGTGCAGTTATTAAATATCAGCACATTTGGAACGCCAATCAAATTCAAGGACTGCAACTGTTGTATAATCTGTCACTGAAAGTATTTAAGTAAATTCAAGTGCCTTGCAGTGCCCATGACATGTTGTGATATGTTTTGCAATCAGATATGTTGCGGGTTGATTTGCAGTGAAGTGTGGGTTGGACTGATTCTCTTTGGATTGCCTTGTCTATATTTCTCTTTCATGTTTCTTTCTATCATTCTTTCTTCATCACTGTAGAAAATACAATGAAGCCTCCTCTTTTCTCATATTCATCAAATGAACCATGCATTAATTCCATAATCATTCATTTTGTTGTGTGTGATTGAGTGAGTACTTAAGGATGTCTGTGTGTTTTTGTGCAATTATGAATTTAACTCTGCATGCCATCCTCCTAATAATCCTGCCTGTATTTGTATTTGTTTGTGTGTGCGCGTGTGTGTCTCGTCCTTTTCTGCTTGGGGAAATAAGCGCAATCCTTTAGAATTCAACAATGCAGGTCTGAAGAAGGGTACAGTCAATAAAGCGCTAAAGGTAACACAACCAGTTTTCTCACAATTTACACACACATACAGTATAGACAGATGTAGAAGGACTTGGCAAGGTTGTTTATGTCGATTTAAGATCTGCAGCAGGTACCATGTGTGCTGTTTGTGTGCTTTGATTAACCGCATGCAGACCTGCGTGCGCATCTGACTGTCTGAAACACACTGAATTCAGACTCTGAATGCCACAGAGGCTATTTCTCATGTGTAAATCTCAGCCATCTTTCCAATCTCATTTTCCCAGTTCTGAATTGATGTCATTTAATTCAAGTAATATATGAATCAAAATTATACACACAATTGTACAGAAATGCAACATATAAGACCTTGTTTGAATCCAACAAGTTTTTAGGTTTAATGTCCTGATATTGATATAGTACATGGCATTCATAAGGGGAAATAAACAAAATATTTTAGAATATTTTCAACTTTCTATCTAATGGAATATTTCCAACTTTATAAGTCTACCACATCTGAACTAAATCTGTAGCATGCTGTCTATTATCAGGATAAATAATTTCAACAAGTTTTAACAATAATAATTTTAGCCTGTATTGCGGAATAAAAATTCTTGTTACTTGATTTTAAATTGCCCCTTTTGTTTAAATGTGCAAGTACATTAGCTGGACCAGCCTAATATATTGTGATTTGAACAAAAGAAGCAGAATTTCAAGTACCATTTAATTAGAATATAGTGCTAATTATTCAAGTAAATAGGGCCTATGTTTGTATGCTTATAAGCTACATTAGTACATTAGTAACAGTAAACAGCTCCCTGTGGTCCATAACAGGAGTTTGAAAGACTTGTTGGTAAACAATCTTATGCAAGCATATGAAATGTTTAAATTTGGTTATGCTTATAATATGATAATCACATAGTTTAAACATTTATTCACAGTGCTGCCTGCTCAGCTTTCCATGTAACTCTGTGGTAATCGACAGCATGCCAGGTTAAGTTCCTAGACATTCAGATCTAGATGGGAGTAAATATGATATGGTTACTACTAAAGCATCATTTCAGCTCATTAGTGCGCAAATATCTACTGTACTGTACATTCTTACCATGTTTGAGATGACACTATTATTGTTCTATTTCAATCCTCTTGTTATTTGCTTTAGTAATTGTGTGGTTAAGGTTGATAATGTTATTTGTACAGTATGTGTTTAATATGGAAGGGTTGTTAATAACTATTTGTATGCTCTTTAGTCTGGTAAAAAGGTCGCCAGTGTGCCCAGTCCATTCGTTCAGTTTACTGTGGGACACAGATCCTTTGAGAGCAAGGTAAACACTGACACACAAGTGATTGCTCTTTATTTAATCTGCCTTGAAATTTAGACGTGCATAACATATTGTGTTATTCTTACAGGTGCAAATTTAAACATGAAAAAAGGGTTTTGCATGAAAAGAGATACATGAATATAAATTCTTAGATGTTTAGCTGTCATCGTATAACGTATTTCTGTATTTCACTGCAAAAGGTGATGCTGCAAGTTTGCTTAAGTCAGACTTTACTTTTTAGCCTTTGTGTTTTCACTGTTATTAAATAAATAATGTTTAAATGTTTTACATTCTTTTCATGTTACAGACAAGATATAAAACCAATGAGCCCGTTTGGGAGGAGGCCTTCACATTCCTGATCCACAATCCAAAGTGTCAAGAACTTGAAGTGGAGGTAAAGCACAAACATGCACTCACATGCACATGGGGTGCTGTGAATTAATGGTTAAAAATTTGTGCTGGTCCCTGAAAGGTGAAAGATTTGAACACTGCAAGGGGGAGCAAATACTGTTCTTGATATTGTAGGAAAGTATGACAATAATTACAAACCCACTTTTGGTCTTGTACTTTTTTTATATTTATTTTTATGTGTATTTATTTATTTCTGGAAAAGAACAAAATCATAGAAATCAAGGTATTAATAAAAATTGACTCAATATTACCCTATTCATGGAAAGTATATACATATTATCTAGAAGTTGCAGTGTTTACAACACAGTGGTGTGTCTCATATGAGTCTGTGTGTGTGTGTGTGTGTGTGTGTGTGTGTGTGTGTGTGTGTGTGTGTGTGTGCAGGTAAAGGATGAGAAGCACGAGTGTTCCCTAGGGACGTTTTCTCTTCCTCTGTCAAAGATGCTGCAGGAGGATCAGATGACTATCAGTCAGCAATTCCCACTCAAGAACTCAGGACCCGGTGCTACGCTTAAGATGAAGATGGCACTTAGGGTAACACACATGCATAAACATCTCACACACACACTAAATAATTTAATGGAAAGGAAAGGAAAACTCAAAACAGTGGTTGAAGCACTAACTGAAATGAAATAAAAATAAATATAAACAATAAATAATTTTGTTTTTGTCTTTCATCAAGCGAAATATCTAAATTGCTTTGTATTGATGGATAGAGTACAAATTCACAATTGAAGTAAAATGTAAAAGTACAGTATTTAAAATTTCACATATCAGGTTTTGCAGATCTTCAAATCAGGTGTCTTAACCATTGTACAGGTGCATCTCAATAAATTAGAATGTCGTGGAAAAGTTCATTTATTTCAGTAATTCAACTCAAATTGTGAAACTCGTGTATTAAATAAATTCAATGCACACAGACTGAAGTAGTTTAAGTCTTTGGTTCTTTTAATTGTGATGATTTTGGCTCACATTTAACAAAAACCCACCAATTCACTATCTCAACAAATTAGAATACTTCATAAGACCAATAAAAAAAACATTTTTAGTGAATTGTTGGCCTTCTGGAAAGTATGTTCATTTACTGTACATGTACTCAATACTTGGTAGGGGCTCCTTTTGCTTTAATTACTGCCTCAATTCGGCGTGGCATGGAGGTGATCAGTTTGCAATTTGAGTTGAATTACTGAAATAAATGAACTTTTCCACGACATTCTAATTTATTGAGATACACCTGTACATGTAATTAGCTCTATCAATGTCATATAGATTCCTCAACTATAAAACCTTAAATTAAAACTTAAATTAAGATAAATATAACAAAAAAGAATATATGTTTACTAAATGAGATAAAAACTAAAGTGGCCACAGCATTGTTGAAAACAATTCAAACTTAGCCTAATACATTTCTTCATTTTTATACTTTTCACTATATATATATATATATATACAGGTGCATCTCAATAAATTAGAATGTCGTGGAAAAGTTCATTTATTTCAGTAATTCAACTCAAATTGTGAAACTCGTGTATTAAATAAATTAAATGCACACAGACTGAAGTAGTTTAAGTCTTTGGTTCTTTTAATTGTGATGATTTTGGCTCACATTTAACAAAAACCCACCAATTCACTATCTCAACAAATTAGAACACTTCATAAGACCAATAAAAAAATGTGTGTGTGTGTGTGTATATATATATATATATATATATATATATATATATATTCTCAAAGCAGCTTCACTGCCTTAAAGGCCTCAGTTTGCAGGTTAAACATGACTAGCAAAGAAACAACTAAACCTCGACCTGTCTAGAGGGTCCATCTTAGCAGGAAGTGTCACTTTTGCTGAAAACACAGTCAGTAACCAGCGCATATCTGTATACATATGTGTATTTCAGATTCTGTCTATGGATAAGTTGTCCGTATCAAATCAGCCGTCCTCAATTCAGATCCGCCGCCCTAGCTCCAGCACGACCAATGTTTCAGAGCCCACCCCAACATCCAAAACCCAGCAGCCAACCCCAGCACCGAGAAACCAACCCTCCCCGCGAGTGGAACCCTTGATAGACAGCAGGCCATTGGAGGACTCACCTACCCGTCTGGCTAAATCGGGGCGGAGCACGTCTAACCTGGCCATTTCTGGCTCTCAGCTACACCTAAATAACAAAGAGCCGACACCCAGCATAGCGTCTGACATCTCCAATCCCAGCACCGCCCAGGAGCTCCAGAAGACAATACAACACTTACAGAAGTATGTTTGAAAATTTTTAACATATTTGACCTTTCCATCTGGTTCCATTCATGGTTTCATGAGACACCAACTCCACAACAGTTTGAAAAAATCTGTTTTTACAGTGGCGCCTCACCTGGTTTCGCTCCATTGGGTGAAATTCAGTTAACCATCAGACACAGTCCCCAAAGAAACAAACTAATTGTCGTGGTACACAGCTGCAGGTAAAGTACATGTGACTTTTGATTCATCTGAAGTATTTCAGTGCTTCTGAAAGATATATGAAATATGAAAGTATTCATATTTGTGTGTTTGCAGGAATCTGATCTCTTCTACTGAAAATGGTTCTGATCCATATGTCCGTTTGTATTTGCTGCCTGATAAACGACGCTCTGGACGCAGAAAAACAAACACAATTAAAAAAACAGTGACTCCTGTCTATGATCAAACGTCAGTTTCTTTCTTCCCCCACTTTTTTCCTCTTCCAGTCTGCTCTTGCATTTAAAAAAATCAAGTTTTCTTATTTTGCATTGAATAAAAATGCACTTTTTGTGTTGGTTTTAAATACAGTGTTTGTGTGTTGCGTGCACATGTGTTTGTATAGGTTTGAATTCAGTGTGTCACTTGTGGAGTTGCACAGAAGAACACTAGATGTGGCCGTGAAGAATGGAGGAGGAATTCTGTCAAAACACAGAGGGCTGCTGGGAAAGGTGACATCCCGCACTAAATAACTTCATAACATCCTTAATATCATTGTTCTTAAAGGGGTCATATGATGTGATTTCAATTTTTCCTTTCTCTTTGGAGTGTTACAAGCTCTTGGTGCATAAAGAAGATCTGTAAATTTGCGAAGACTAAAGTCTCAAATCCAAAGAGATATTCTTTATAAAAGTTAAGAGTCAACCACGCCTACCTAAAACGGCTCGTTCTAACACGCCCCCACATATCTACATCACTATGTGGGAAGATTTGCATAACGCCACCCAAATGTTCACGCAAAGAAAGAAGGCGTAACTTTTATTCTCGCTGTAGTATTGTTGCCGCCATGTCGTGAAGGCGCTGTGTGTTTCGTTGTGAAAGCGAAACTAATTTATTTGGCCTTCCAAAAGAGGACGATATCCGCTTCGTCATGCCTAGAGCTGATCCATGCTGGTCACTGAGGAAAAACATCAACTTCGCGCTGTGGATCACTGGATCGGCTTTCACCGTGGACGAAGCGGAGTCCAGCCCGGGGTCGTCACATGTGGTTGC